GAAAATGACGTCAATTGAATGAATTTTATGTAAATTAAATTCATACAATGTTGTATTGTTGACAGTCATGATTCAATAATAGAAAGTTTGATTATGATTTTAATCATTCGAAAACACTATACAAATAAATAATATTATTGTAATTAGTGACTTATTTTATATTGCTCTGTAATATTAGGTATATATTGTTATTTATTATGAATATGATCGATTTACTAAATATTATACCCGATACTTATTATACTTAATAACTATAACTACATACAAATAATAAATGCTTTGATTTAGTTATTATGTAAGCAGTGTGGGACACAATATTATATACACATTGTGAGAAGAGAAAATGTTTCCCAATAAACATTTAATCCAATAATTTATATTAAACGTGCTTGAGAAAATTTAAAATTAATTTAAAATAGAATAAAACCGACTATTCACGACACCTCGGTATATAACTGCAGTAGTTGTAGTACCTAAAGAATTGTATTATATCTGTATGCATTCTGTACTATATTACATAGTATGACTACTAACTAGTACATAATATTATACCCATGGATTTTTTTTTATTTTGATCGTATTATATCCCAGCAGCTGAAAACCAGTGAAAAAGTTTTATAAAAACACTGCTGCATACTTCTGCCATAGGTTTCACGTTCACGAAGCTGTGATCGAAGGTAACTATAATATAAGACGTAGTATAATAATATGCTTAGGTACCTATAGAACACACACCCCTCAACGGCCGGACCTACTGCAGTAGCTGACGTGACGGCCGACAGTTTTCGAAACGTACCTTTACGGACCCGCCAACGTTAGAATTTAGAAAATTGCAAACTTGAAAATCGAAGTCCCGGAAAAAGAAAGGGACTCGGAGCACGGTTTTACTCCATTAAAATATAATACGACGAATGAGTAGCATAGTTTTTAAGCTCGTTTTTTTTCCGTCGGTGGTCAATTTTTTCACGCAAATCTCCGATCTTCGGAAACCGCATGATAACGCTTATCGCGTGGTAAAAGCGGCTGCGGGTTCGTTGGCTGTCACTTCTCCGTCCACCGTGGGCGTGGTCGATCATTGACCATACCTACTAGAACGGCCTTGAGGATGTCTACGGTCGTACTATGGCACGTGACGTATCGTGCGTATATCATATTATTTAGTATATAGTTGTATCTTGCACGTAGCGAATACTGGGAAAATAACTCGTGCTGCATCGGGCCTCGTGGTGGTGCGTGAGGGGGGGGGGGGCCTCTTATCCCTCCCCCGCCCGACGCGCGCACAAACTGTATTTACCCACTCTGGAATTTCTCCGGCACGATGGGTATCATGTGCACCGTGCAGCGCGATACGAAGACTGGTACAGGTGCGCATCTATTGCGCGGCAGATTCCGACGAAATGGCCGTGTCGTGCATGCCACCGTCGATGTCGATGAACCGACCGATGATAGTAGTACGTATATACATACCTACAATACTACAAAAATGCAACAACAACAATAATAACATTATTATATAGTAAACACACTGTTTTGATTCGGCTGCGTAGATGACGGCGGTGGCGGACACAGAGCGTATACACAGAGGCGGAGATAACCGCGACCGTTGCCCCGGCACGTATTCCGGGTATAACGACGTGTAACGGGTCGTTGTCATCGCGATCCGTTCGCATATTATAATGTTGACGTTTTCACTGCGTATTGTCATCGTCGCGGCTGCCTTTGTTGATGTTTTCGTCCGTTGTCTTCCGAAGTCGCGGCGCCGAAAGAGTTCAATGAATGGATCGAAAGCTAATCAACCGGGTGACCAACTGCCGCGATGTTTCGAAACGTTTCTCTGCCACACGTGTGCCCGCGCAGTACAGATTTAATATAGATACACCTATAACTTCCTACGGCACGCTCGTCGATACACGATATCATTATTGTTATTATTATTATTATTATTATTATTATTATTATTATTATTATTATTATTATTATTATTATTATACGATGTCGCACAGCACACGTGCGTCATCAAAGTTCCATTGTAAATTCTTTTATGACGGTGTCAATACATTATAATTTATAAGTCATTGAATGTCATGACGCAGGTTCGTTGCGAATAATCTCCATGGCAAAAATACGAGGATTTAGAAGTCACTGCAATTTGAAGTGGCAATACCGAAATGTATGAAAACAATGTACCTAGTGTAAAGTGGAAATGTAGATTGGAACAGCTATAGATCAAATTATACATAATATTTAGATACGATTCTTACGAAAGTGAAATTGTATGTGCTTGCTTGGAGATATCAACTTGGGACATTATGTTTATAAAATTATTAGACTGCAGTGTGTATCCTCATTTTTATGGGTGCGTAATTAGATTCTATTCCTATATTTAGTATTTATCTACCTTTTTTCGTTTTATTCGCGAGTTGTCAGGGACTTCAATTTGCACATATTAATCCTCGAGACGCTGTGCTAAAATATCTGGGAAGAAGAGCAAATGCTCAAATTTGGAAGGAAGTAGTAATTGCAGCCATCAATAAAAACCTTATTCCCTATTATTGTTTAACATTGTACTGCTGAAAGCATAGCAGTTTTTCAATAGCTTTTCACATATTCCTATAATTGATGGGAGATTAGCATTTATGTATAAAGGAAAAATGGATTGCTTACGAGCTGACAATAGGTCATTTCAAAAAGCAATAAATAGATTAAACTATAATATGGTGGACTGTTTATTACTGGTAAATCCCCACATGTTGTATTGGTCAAATCTAATATATTAATATAAAAAGAGTATATTATACATATATATATATATATTGTTTTTATCATTAGTATGAGGTGTATTAAAATGTGTATGCAGAATTCAAGTGTGGATTATTGTCAATTAGTAACTTGCAAGATCATGTAATTTTGGTAATAGGGGAGGTGGAGAGCAAAGCCCCCCACTGTTCTGTGAAGCATTCACAATTGTAGCACCCCACATTTTAGAGTTATAGTTGCGCCTATGCTACTGCTGCAATCCAGTAGATCATGGTTGTGTATTTGACTTAAGACTAGTCATTATAAGCGTGTGTTTTTAATTTGTTCAAATACTTTCATTAATTTGATCGTTTACATTCTCCCTCTACTTCTAACGTACAATGACTTCACTAGCTAGTTCGTGGCTACGCACGATGACAACTCGTAATTGGTTGATTGCTGCTGAATCATAGTTATCGACTTATTGTATATTGTAGATTTAGTGACTAAGACCATCCGACCATGTATATAGAGGTATTTATGTGTTGGTATAATTGTGTGAATATTGTTTAGTTATTTAAGTTCCAGTGATTCACCGATGACCAATAAAGCGATATGAATCGGTTTTCGATAGCGGTCAACGTACCTTTTTCGGTCTATTGTTTCGTGTTGAAAAATGTCCTTTGTCGGGCTTAGAATTCACGGCCAAAAACATAACATAATATATTGCTTCTTGAAAATCAGTGGCTATTATTGTCGCGAACGTCATTTTCTGCGAAATACTCGCGGGAGCAAGGTGCACCAAGGCCAAGTGTTCTATTCTTCCCGCCCTTTCATTTGTATTTGATCCGCCGCCACCGGCTTTGTTCAGCTCATGTATTGAAATTGTTCAGATTTTAGTTAGCACATTAAATGTATCCAAACCTTGTACGTTACCTATTACTTTTTGCAATAACAGAAAACGCATATATCGTTCATAATAATTTACAACGCATAATATTTTGGTTAGTGTTTTTTTAATGTATTATATAGATTCATTATTTTAATATTTTCTTTTGATTTTGTAAATCTTAATCCTTTCATATCACGATCAATATTAGCAATTTATAAACTAAACTATCATTAAAGTATACCGATATTATGAATCTCAATTTATTAAATGCAAATAGTTATAATTTACAACTAAAGGGATGCAATGTAATAAACTAGAATCGTGGTACAAAAGTTCGGATAAAAAAGTCCGAGCCTAAAAAATCCGTAGTAGATAAGCCCGGGGTAAAAAATTCCTAGGTAAAAATACCTTGTATGTATATGTAACAATATTTAAAATAATAAATTAAAAAAAATAAAATTCAATGATTATACTAAGGTATCATATTTCTCAGTTTAATTAAGTATTAACTATCTAGTTAACTATCTTAACTAAACAAATCCGATATATATAATATATTATGTATTACAATCTTAAAAATAAAAAATTCAACAATTATATTGCGTATCTATAATAATACGATTTATCAGTTCAATTAACTATCGTCAATAAAATAATATACCTATGTAAAAAAAAATTCAGGTACAATAATATTTAAAATAATATATTTAACCGATATTGGGACCCTACAAGATTATTTATTAATTTTTTCAGGTAAATCATTTAGTTACAATTTATATTAATACTAATTGAAAGTTTGATTGTGCATCACATCATATTTTTCCTTTTACCTAATTATATGTCCTGGACTTTTTCACTACGGACTTTTTGGTAGCATACCAATAAACTAGCACTGGGTTTTGATGTAGACGATTATTTGAAGATTTTGTATAAATCTGAAAACGTAATTTAATTTTAATAAACATATAAATAGTATTTATCGGACATTTGCCATACAAACTAAAGAGAAATTATAGTGTTGGCTCATTGTTTATATGTTTTGCACTCATACACTTGGTCGATTTTCAAATTTCAATTGTCATGGGACTAAATAATATATTTTCCAAATGCATTATACATGTTTGTGTAACATAATATGCTTATATATTAAATAATGAAGGAACTTACATACAGTTCACGATATATAGTTACATGGTATTTCATTTAACTCATAATTAAATTGTAATACCAATTCCTAATGAAATTATATATATTTTTACTTATAAACCAGGTTTGTTACAGTTGCACAATAATAATTTAATTATTTTCCTCATAATATTATTTAATTGTATTTATTAAAATTATATTGTACTCGGAACCGCAATGTATGCTGTGTAGATATAAGCATATTGTGCTTAAATTATTTAATTATACCTATACCCTAATGAATTTACTACAAGTCTGCATAATATGTAAAACGCTCTTCGATTAATGTAGGTACGGTACATTGGTACATGCTACGTACTATATAAGAAGGTAATATACTTATTATTTAATACACTTTGAATAATATTATACAATTGTTTATTTTTGTTTCTATTTACAAATTAGTTGGTTTAGTACACCTTTTTGTTGTTCAAATGTCAAATAATTGTATTGTATTTTTGTGTTTTAGAATTAAATGTTACGCGTATTTCGTGTCGACTCCGTTAGTGAATTTTCAGAAACTAATCCCGCCGAGATGGTTATTATTTATCAAATTATTACTTATAAGTTATTAAACAGCCAGGAAGCTGTGAACATGATACATGTGTATAATGTATAATTTATATATTATAAAGTTGGTTAGAAAATAAAAAATGGTTTGCACTTTTTATACTTATATAATGTTTAAAGGTAATTATAAGTTTAAAGTATAAACACTTTAGGTGAGCAGGTTGGTATAGGGTACCCCGGAAAATACCAAAATTAGAAAATATTTGTATACTATTCATCTATTTGACGTATCTAACCTTAAAACTCGTATAACTTATTAACTATAGTCGTTAGAAATTATATTTTTATATTTTCATTAAGTTTCAAATATATGCACCTTCGGAATATGAAATAAAAAATGTGAAAATATTAAAATGACAACTACAAAAAAAATGTTTTCAATTATGTTTTACAATTTCTTTAAATTATCTAAAAAATATATTTCTAAAAACTTAAAACCTTTTAGAAAAAATTAGTTTACGCCTTAAAAAGTATCATTCTGTATGAAAATATTTAGAGAATCTTATCAATTTTGGGAGAAGACAGGCTCGCGCATAAAATATAAATTCTCATACATTTTTTAATTAAATAACTCCAATTCGACGTGCAATAATAATAATACCATCTAATAGTTCTTCAACGAGGCTATGGAATTCATCTCTACAAGTATTTATAATAACTTCATGACATATATTATTATAAATTATGGAGTCTTGTAATGAAAATTCATGCCAACAAATCGCACGAATACATCAAGGTGATTCCCTAGAATAATGTCCCCTACATTATTCGAAATGCATGACTATAAAGTATTTTGTAGAATCGGCTTTGAAAATATTCTAAGAATTTGTTTGTAAAATACGTTATATTTTATTATATTTTACCATTGTAATTATTAATTTACAATTTGGATTTGTTTGAATCATAATGGTCACGCCGTTATGTTTATTGACGGTTTTAAATTTAATGGCAGGTATTGCTTTATTTGTATTACCTATGCGGTTAAACTTCACTACTGCGAACTACTATGTCAATGTGATGATTTAAACGGTAAACGTGTTTACAAGAATAGGAGGAAGTCGTGCCTTACCTTTTTTTTTGGTTTAGCATTGTTTAATGATGTTTCGAAGAATAGGAGAAAATCGTTTACAAACATTTATTCGGTTTGGCAATAATATGTATTATGATGACGGTTATAGCCAACGCGTAAATAGTTGACCTAGAGAGTTTCTCTTAACGATAGATAGAATTTATCGTACCCTATTATGAGTTATGATTAATAGTAGAGCAAGGCTGGTTGTTCTCCGATTTTGTAGAATTATTCTGAAGAATGTATATTGTTAGTTGTTACCTTGTGTGTTATATAATATCATGACTCTTATCACAAAACGGCTAGTCATTTCTTTTCATTTAGTTTTGTCAACCAAGTACCAAGAAAAATAAGTGTTTTGGATGTTGGGAAAAAATCGACCACAGTTTTCTATTTTTTTTATTGTGTAGGCATACTATGTATTATTAACAATAGTGGATTAATTTATAACGGAAGAACGCGAGCGCGGTATAATAAAAAAAGTCCGTGCTCGAGTATAGTGAGCACATACATCGGAAAACCACGTAAATTGGACGGTTTTATACCATTGTCATATTTTGTCGATTTTGGGGTCGTGGAATGGCGGCGGTGCAGTGTACTCCGAACCAAGTAGTGTGTGATTTCCGCTTCGTAGTATAAGTACTCTATAATATTATAATCGTATGGCTATGGTTATTATTACCATCCGTCTTGGCGGGAAAACGAGTGGTGCACGCGGTCGCGCATTGGCCTCCCCGGCGTGGTGAAGACGCTGGTGGCGATGGCCGTGATAGTAGTAGTGTTACTATAACGCGTTCGTAAATAATAACAAGACGACGGTATGAGAGCGTGTGTAGGCATGTGAGAGGTAGAGTGAGTGAAAGAGTAAAACGGCCGCCCGCCGACAACTCACGTGCATACTATACACCTACTACACATAAGTATTCTGTATTATAATATTATAATATTATTATTGTATCTATGTAGTAGCGTAGCGTAGTATTAATTATTGTAGTGGTGGTGGTGGTGGTGGTGGTGGTGGCGAGGAAAGGACGTATAATATAATATAAATGATATTACGAGATAATGATAATATGCAGCGGAGGAGACGAGAAAAATGTGCCGGCGATTCCCACGGCGGCTCATTCACCTGCGCGCGCGTGTCGCGTTCTCCCGCGCTCTATACCCGCAACCCGGGTGGAGGTTACCGCTTCTCGTCGTATTTGTATACCGCGTTCTCCACACAACGTCCCGGCGGCGGACGATGAAATGTGATGATATTACCACCGCGCGACACCGCAGTCTTCGTATTATTTCAAGAAAACCGGCTTGGCCCCGGAATTTGATTTTTTTTTTTTTTTTGGCGGGCTCTCCGACGTGGCTCCTCAAAGCAGCGTGAACAAAAACCCGTACCGAGTACCGACTCTATATACCTATATAATATTATGTACTCTCGGGTGCGTTTGGTATGCTTCTCTCCTACACCATCCCTCCCCACGAGCCAGTTCCACAATAACCATTCACTGTTTTTTTTCTATTCTTTTTTTCACAAGGCGCCGGTTTTGTGTTTTCAACATTTCATTGTGTCGATTTTTTTTTTATTACTATTAAAGCTATTTTATTTTTACGGCGGGTGTAATATTATACGTGCTCTGTTATATGCATCGCGTCTTATGATTTTATTTTTCTTTTTCTAATCGTTTCCTACGATTTTCTGTTTTCACTGTGATATTCAAACAACACACATTAAGCTCCTCTCCTACCCCTAAAAATGCCATTTGTAATCGTGAAAAGTGTTGTACGTTGGCATATACATTTAAACTGTACAAAACTATGTATAGTTTATAAGTTGAATGGTTCACCAAAGAATTGTGCTCACCGTTCACCTCCTATAAGTTAGTACAAATATTACACAGTGGATTTTTATATTTAAAATATATCCAAGTTATACAAAAAGTCAATTTAAAAAATCGCGCCCAGATTCTGTTGAGATTTTCAAATAATATAATATATATATGCACTTCAATATATTCGCACATGCCTATTATTCGAGAATTGATGGTTCTATAAATTCTGAAAATCAAAAAGATGTATGAACTTGTGAAATAACCGCATTTTTAGCCACATTAGTCATGATATGTTTCTCTGTTTAAATTAAAAATAATTAATATTATTGAGTCTAAACCAGTAGTACTCAACCGGGGTGACATGTCACCTTAGGGTGACGTGGACCTAGCTTAGGGGTGACGCAGAATTTTAACAAGAAAAGAAAAAATTTAAAAAATAAATTTTTCGATAATAGTAAAATTATAATAATAATAATAAAATTTCGAAAACAATCATATTATTTCTTATAATACATATATTATTCACCTATACCACCACTGTCATGTACATAACATACCTCAAAGTTCGTATCTTTATATACGCTAGACAGCTTTTGGGTGGCTCTTAACAATGAATACCCTCGATTATCGAAAAATGCTATTAATGTGCTCCTTCAGTTTTCTACGTCTTGGTTATGTGAGCATGGCTTTAGTGCACTAACAAATATAAAAACAAAAAAACGCAACAGACTCACAAAAACAACTATAGAAGACGATATGAGACTCGCTCTTTCCACCATCAAACTTAGGATTCCCCAACTTTGTAAAAAACACCAGGGTCAAATTTCACATTAAATTTATATAAATCATTATTTTTTTTTTAACTTTAATTTTTTTCTGTACTGTATTTTTTTTTTAATAAAAGAATAATTTTAATATATACAGCTAAGATTATTTATTATTTTGATGTTAGGTTTTTTTTTTTTTACATTACACAGTTAGGGTGACGCGATGTTTGATTCTAGTGCCTAAAGGTGACATGAATCAAAAAAGGTTGAGAACTACTGGTCTAAACCTACTCAAAAATGTAGATGTGTAGATATTCGTATATATATAAAAAGTTTCATCTTTGTCTAAAAGATAACGTCATTACAGCACGTCGAAAACCTATAGGTGCGTAACTTATCAATATACATTAACTATAAACACTGTTGTAAGTGCTTTGGTATGTTCTTATCAAGATGTTGTTAGTCACAACTTACAATAGTTTTTGTGGTATCTCAAAGTTAACTTATTTCTGTGTACGGTTAGCAATCATAATTCATAACAAAATATATTATTGGAATTTATATTATACCGTTTGTAAGATAATTTATTAATTTTATGCTAGGGAGGAGTTGTAGCTGTAACTCATTTTACAATGCTAGTACAAATAACTAATAAGTATGCTAACCATAATTGTTAATGACAGTACGTATCTTCACTACCTTCTACACTGTTGAATGTACATTCATAAGCACATAGGTATTCAGTTATTTAACTATTTAACGCATGTCAATTACAACTACATACAATTAAAATATGAAATACTTTTCATACCGATAAACATTGAGCCAAATAGAATTTTATGAAAAAAAAACGTTTTTAACATAAAGCTCGAAATGTTATTATTAATAAAAACATATGTATAACTAATAATAATAATTTATTTTATTAACTAAAATAACCCTTGCCCGCAAGACCAATGGACGGTATTAAAAAAACTATTCAAAACATCTGTAAATTAACTGAATATAAAATAATATGAAACATTTACATTTTTTGATGATGCATAATTAAAGTATGTATGTACGTAGAGTAAACTTTTTAATTTTTGGTCTTAAATTCCAATACATAATTCTTTAATTACCAAATCACCAAATATTAATAATTAGCTTCATATGCCTAAAATAAACTATAAAAATATAAATATAAAAAAAACATCGCCTTTAATTCCTTTGTGTTAATTGCGAAATAATATAACACTGCATTATTCAGATTTAGTATAAACTATTTAGTTGTAAAGCAAATACAACTCATTATATTCTTTATGTTATTTCAATTTCCAAGAACAAAACCGTTTTCAAGACTTATTATGCTTATGTTTTATATTTAATTTAGATAAACCTAGACTTAATTTTAGTGCTTCTTACTTTTTATATCAAGTCACGATTACATTACTTATACAATGGAACGCTTCTAACATAATATATAATAATAATATTACCTGTAGATTAAAATAAATCAGGTACTAATATGTTGAACTTGTAAAGAAATAAATTCAAGTTCTTATTTTAAATGAAAAGTTACAAAAACACTTTTATCTCTTTTTTAAATTTATACGATTAAAATTAAAAACTAACAACATTAACAGGTATAGTTATAAACAAGGTTGATTATCTAGTAAAATTGGTTTTTTATTGGATAGGTACTTACTTAATTTTTAACATTTTTACTTCATTTATCTTATCTCAGATTGCTATGGTTTTGTTGATTCATATGACGTACAATATGTTTCATTACCTTTAGACGTCTCTTCTGTCGAATGGCAAAGTTAACTCAATTTAATAAAAACGAATGTGAAAAATATTATATATTTTTTTTTATTTGTTTCATATATTTTAATCATTTGTTTTTATTGCATGGCTTACTTGGGTATTAGAGCAAAGGTTTCAATTTCAAATAATTAAACCTTCAAATAATATATTTTTTAGATATCATTTCAATGTGTTAAAAGACCTCTAAAAGCACAAAATATGCCCTTGGAAAATGTAATTTTATTACACAACGGATGTAGCTACTTCTGTTGTGAATGATAAATATTTACTTATACGTACCAATACACAATTATATAGGTACACATTAAATTATTATGACGGATATGTTGAAATAATTAAACAAAATAATGTTTGTTTCTCGAATATACTAAACTATTCGTGTTATTTCTTTTAATTATGCTCAACAGTCCCATATAGTAGGTACTTACCTATACTTTGCAATAAATTGTGAATTTTCAAACTAAAGATATCAAACCCAACTTAATAAGAGTTAATGGTTTTGCATATAACACATTGAACAAATATTGAAATTGTACATTAGTATACTAATATATAGTATGCCCACTGATGAAAATACATTTGTACGCAATTCGCATAACATAACCCAACTACTTTTTGAAAAATATACAAACTTAAGATGTTTTCGACCAGCATGTGTTGTATCCATCAAACGTCCAACATATAGCAAATTTGAGTTCAGCAGAACCTCTGTTTTTTTTATTAAATTTAAAGGAATAAATATTATCCATAGGGCACCTCGTAGAATTTTATTGACTTTTAATGTTAAAATGAGTTATAACTAATAGAATATTACTATTTTAAAATGCTTATGCATTGTTTTAAAATTAAAACATCAACACAGTTATACGACGTTCCCTAGATAATGTTCTCTTAAATATAAGTTTGACAATAGGTTAATTTATTCTAATATTAAAGCTAACAACACAAATTTGGATCTGCTGAGGGTGGATGTTTGTAAGATGGAGTTAACATATGCTCGCATCCTCCTCAAAAGAACGTAATCTAAAACGTTGTAAATAATATTTAACTGTTTTTAGGTGAAATTCACTATAGACTGTCGATGCGTGTAATCCTGTTCATAACACTTCTACCAAGTATCAGGTGCAAAACAAGTTGGGGCAACATTCGGTAAGTTGGCGTATTGTAGTGTAAATTACATTTAGTTTTCAACGTTTTACGAACGAAATTTATCAACTGCCCCAAATACTAACAAAGTAGTACGTGCAATGGATATACGTCAATTAATCGTAAACAATTCATCGCATGACAATCAAATATCAATCGCAATAATTTTACCTAACAACAATAATTGATCGCTAAGACCTATAACGCGTATCCAACAATATTATTGAACGTTAATCGCCGATCATAATATAATATCTTATCTGAGTTAGTCGCTATATTTGGTTGTTCGTATTGATCGATAAATGATCACTTACCATAGTAGGTATATATAAAATCTATTTTTTTATGTGATGAGATGATTAAAGGGCTGAGTTACGGTTCACTGTGTTGTTTACGTCGTCGAAGACCGCTGAATTCTGGCCCAATAACCTTTTACCTATGTAGGTGAGTTGTGGCCCGAATAACTATCGATCATATAGTTATTACATTTAAATAAAATGCTCGTTTTATCTAGAAACTTTTATCGCACGATAACGTTAAAAATAAGGTTATTCTATAAATATACATGTTATATTTTCAGATTATTTAATTTTCTTTAGCCAAACTAATAATTTAAAATAAGCATGACGACAAACCGTATCATTGGCAAAGCATAATTGTATAAGCTTAATAAAAAAATCACATTATGGGGAGACAAATCAGCCAACGTTTCCACAGTGTCTCCTGCAAAGTATCGAGCTAATAGGCTGATATGAAGTGCTAATTATTATGTGGCCACAAGTCACAATTTCTTTCATAAATCCACAGGAAGCAGCTATAGTGAATAATTGCTTGATTTAGGGATTGGGCAGAAATTCGCTAACACTGGATTAAGATATGTTTTATTGGCATTGCAAGCTCAAGTTTCATATTTAAAATGTAGATAATGTGTAATGTATTATAATAAGTTGGTAAATGTTGCTAATTGTTTCTATTAGTTATTGTTATTTTTAATACAATCAATTTTTTTATGCTTAATACATTTGTGTTATCATTTTTTAAAATTTTTATTATTGATCTTAAGCATCGGTAACTATGGCGATTAGCATTGTTGTAGAAGTTGTATGGTTGGTTGAGGAACATGCCGAGGAACATGTGTATATGTGGTGAAAATTTGTCACTACAGACTCGGATGGTCACCCATCGGTGAACTAGAGACACCGGCCGATGTTTGACCTCAGAACACGATAGTGACTGAGACCAACCATCAAGCCTCACCAGGCCCCGTCATTTTTTTATTTTTTCATTAATTATACATTTTGTACCTATTAATATTGAAATAGCTAGGTACTACAGTACTATACTGTTATAATTTGTGATGCATATCGCTGATTATTTATTGCGATGAACTATCTTTCGATAAACTATCTTGTGATCAAATATTTGCGATAAACCCAGTGTACCAATTACCTAGTACATATAAAAAATAATAAAATGTGTAGGACCTAAGTAGTAACAGCTAGAGTCGTAATAGCAATGTTGCCCATACTGTTATTGAATAATATTATAGACAAGTATAGAAAATAATATGGTTGGTATAGTTAATAGTTATACAATATAATATAATATTATTAAATTATTATGTTCTACGCAAAGTTCACCGGACCGTGCTCGGCGGTAATGGGCGTCGTCACGTGGCCGCCTCCGCCGATAAGCCAAGTCGCGGCGGTGTCTGGTGTTTCCGGTTCGGCCCGCCGCCGAGCACTGCCAAACACAGCTCCGACGCTTCGTTTTAGTCCGTACCAGTCTTTTGGGTCACACGCCGTACACCGTCAGTTGTGAATATTGTGATATTAAACGGCACATGTTTTGTAAACGGCTGATAACAGATTGAATAATCGTAACAGCAGGCCCTGTTTATCGTCTTTTGGGTGCGGAAAATTGATAAATCTCTCCTTTCATAGAACAACTAACTGCGTTATCATGGAGGGTGGTCATGTGTTATAAGTCATTATCTTGACATTTTACATTTTATTTACCAAATGTGTAGTCATATTTTTGAGCCAAACCAGTGGATATTTGTTCAACTCTGGACCCACCGCTTTAGTCTGCAGCGTAGTTCTAGATACCACCATTGATTATAAATACTAGTATTATACTTTATAGATAGATACTACGTATCTAACACGAATATTATAATACATTAATAGAAAAATTATTAATTATTATAACCTATAGGGTTTTCCAACTTTTTTGATGTGGTTACCCACTATTATGATACTTCTTCAATCTGCAGGTGGCTCATAAAAAGAATTTCTAGTCGTAATAGATTTTAGTATACGTATAATTGAATATTTTAATCTTATACTATGATTGTTCACCCCTAGATTGGCATTCACTGATCTGTGATGGATTTGTGATGGGGCACAACTGCCCGATCTACCATTGGTATTGATAAATTGCATTGAAATTTTAAACTAATCTTCAACATTGAGGGTGGTTTCCGGAATCAAATTTGATCTTCCTTTTTAAAATTTTGAGGGATCAAAAAATTCCCAGTATTTTTTTAAAATATAATAGGGAAGTAGGAAACATCATATTATAATTATATTCTTACATAAATATAATACAGCTCAAAAAGGGGAATATTTACATAACATTAGGAATAAATGTCAACTTAAAATGTTCACTAAATAACGTATTTTTTTTTTTATTAATGGTAAAATGGAAAATATTTTGGTGTTTTTTAGTTTTTAATAGACATTTAAAATAATGAATAGTTTTTTTCCAGTTTGTAAAATTTGGAAATTTATTACAAAGAGCCTCATAATAAGTTATATTCACAGCAATTGATAATATTGATAAGAAAATATAGTCTTCTCGGTGTATTGTTGATAACCATCTGAAGAAGACATTTTGGCAAAATTAGATATTTAAAATTTTAAACAATTTGTCGACATAAGATATTTAAACGATAAGTGAACATTTTTCTTCAAACTATTTTAGTTATTTTTTTTTCTGTAACAGTAGAAGATGACTTGATACTTAAAGTTATTGCGTTTATTATTAATTTTCATAGTTTATACTCTTTATGACATAATATGTATCAATATATAAATATAACATAGTATAACATAAACTATGTATAGAAATAGTTGCCAATCCACTCGTTTACTATTTACTTACTTTTTCATTTTCCTACAATTATTATGATGGATTTTGATTTGACACATTCATTACCTCCAGCGAACTACCCAAGATGGTATTCTCGAAATCAACTATATACAACAGAAGCAAGTTCTCGGTTTCTTTTATTCGGGTTTATTCTTATAGTAGGTGTGTACGCCGTACATGATTAAGTTTAAAGATTTCTCATTTTATTTATGCTATGGAAACTCATTGATAGTATTTACTTGAGATAAAAGAAATATTTTAAGTACCCATACTATTTTTTTAGCGTTTACAATTTGAATTACAGATTTTTTCATAAAGAACCAAGAATATTTAGAGAGATTGTATTATTTTAAAGAAATTTAAATATTCAAAGTATGGTGGAGTAATGTTCTTGAAATTTCTCACAGAATTTCAATAGGAATAACGATTAACGAAAAAAGTTATTAAAGGCCTCAGTATTGTGTAATAAATGCACATATGGTATTGGTATTACATAATCCATGTTGGTGTTGCAATGCACCTACAAACTACACGACATTATTCATAAATCATGTAACCACGTGTTTTTTTATTACACTTATATGAACTATAAAAACAAAACATTTACCAAATGAATAATCTTTGAAATGGTTTAGATATAGGTACACGAGCAGTTATAGTAATAAAAATTGAATAATGTTCCGTTTAATCTGTTATAATTCATTTTCATAGTCAGACATAAATCATAAAAATAATTTTAACTATTTATATTATATATATAAGTTTATATTTTTCAAATTATAATTCAACTTTGTAAAAACATAAATATCACACTGGTGAATCAGCTAGTATAGTAGTGTCGTTGTGTGTGCAAAGGTGCATTTACAATGGTAGATATTCCCATGTAGATAATAATACATACACGAATAGGACATTCCTACACCTATTATGCACGGTGTACTGTGATCGAAGAGTTTAATAGTTAGCATAAATCATAATAGTTCTATACGGTTGTGGCTACGATTTATGATAATGAAAAACATTTAATAAATCCACTATGCGCCAAATGTTGAATTCAATTATACCCTTTGTTTTTTGTTATTATTGTGAAAAATAAATACTATAATAACATTTGTCATATTGTGTTTTAAATTGTTTATTTTATATTAACATAATTTAATATTATCAGTGGCGAGAAATGTCGAGAATACCACAACTTTGATTGCATGTAAACACTTTTGAAACTAGTTTACTCTTCGATCACACTTGAAAACAATGTTTATCCTATCCATGTACATATATGCATATTGTATATGTACTATGGACACATTTAAACTCTACCACAAGTACCTTTTTTAATGTTAACTAACCTAAAAAACAGGTAAAATTGAGTTCATATAAACTCCGTGAGTAAAGAAAAATCAAATTATAGTATAAAAATAATATTATATAAAATTATTTTAAAAAAAAAAATCATAATTTTTATAGTAATAATCGTCCACATTAAGTAATTGTTAATATGACGTAATATGACAAAAAATATACAAAACTTAAATATAAAAATAATAATTGTCCGAAAAAATCATACAAATTATTGTAATGTATATTATATTATATCATCATAATAAATAATTGTAATAATCATAAAATATGTACCAACTACCAGGGATATAATAATAAGTACCTATATGTAATATCAATATGTTATAATATTTTGAACTGTGAACTAAAATAATGTGATAAAATGTGTAGATATTTTAACATTATTATAAATTATAACTATTTATAGTGTTCTCTAACACTATTATTATTATTTTTTTTGAATTGTTGAACCATTTTGGTTGAGATATATTATTACATAAGCAAGGTCTTAGCACTGTCCGAGTTTCCATGATCAGTAATACGTATACCATCACATATTATGGAAAAATTCCTAAGACAAATTCAAAGTCTTTTCCAATGTATTTTCACCGTTTATCACTTCGTCCACGTTGTTAGATAATATGGGCGGAATATTGGCAGTGGGTTTAGATTGTTTAGAAATATAGCTACAAATACCATAAAATAAAATAAAATATTTATATAATTTTACTATATTGTTATTGCATTTTTTTTTTATAAGCCTTAGTTTAAAAACAATATTTCATACGTAAATATTGTTAGTATTTACTTTTTTTTTAAATTTATAATGATTCAAATTATCAAATTTCGATAACCTTTATGAACTATTTTGGCTACCTTCCGCTTAATCCTGACAAAACCTCTCTGCTTGATCATTCCGGATCGTGCGTTGAATAAAGTCGTTTAAGAATATTAAAAAAATATTCTGATAGAAATAAGTGCTAATGTATAGTGTATAATACAACGTACCTATCGCATATTATATAAAATATACATATATAATATATATAACATATCATATATGAACCCATGTATAAATATTATTAATAAACATATTTTATACACTGTCATTTTAAAGTATAATTTATACTACATAGGTAGCTTTCATCATTAAAATTAATTATGTCTGGTTTTATTTTTTTTATCTATGTTAGTTGATACGGCTAATAAACTATGAAAACAGTTTTAAGACAGGGAAATGTTTTGTTTTGATTTTAAAATTAAGTGGTGAAATTTCGAAATTGGCTTAAAACTTAAATGATGCTTCTGATATTATATGGCTCTTCATAAATATTTTGTCTTATGTTCCCCACCAATATTCGTGTGAGATACAACTTATTGTTGAGATGATTATTTAAAAAATCTAAAGAATTAGTACATAATTGGTATTATAATAATGTCAATAATTATTAGTTATTGACAGTGCTAATTATGTGTTTAATTATATAAGATGGGTTTAAACTATAAACTAAATCCATTTAACAAATTGCTATATATATTTTCATGATCGAACGCGTGTGATAAAAAAAACATTTCAATTGCATACTTTATCTTATTATATATATTAGTAAGAGATAAACTAAAAAAAAAATAGAATGCGTTTTATCAAAGAACAAAATTGGCTTGCATTAATTTATATTTGTAAATACTTTAAATTGTTCATAATGTTGATTAGTGTTAAAATAAAATTAAGAAATTTTATAGAATACCAGTTTTAATGCAGAAAGATATACTAAAAATGAATTAATCGACATTCTTTAAAAACTTTTAAGTAAGAATAAAATCATAACAATTTGTATCCAATTG